AAATGCGTAATATAGCCAACAATATTATAGACCAAAAGTTAATCTAATTTATTATTGTAGAATGTATTTAGCAAATCACCACTTTCTGGAGACATGGCGCAGCAGCAGCAAAACAAAAAAAAGGCATTATAAAAAGCCGACAAATAGTGTTAATTAATTGACATGAGACATTGGAGAGGTTGTCAGTCCTATTCTATAGTCTGTAATACTTTTTTTATTTTATCATAACTTCTCGGAAATTACTCAAAAATGCATTCATTGTGTGCTTCTGAGCACACGGGCAGCATAAAAAATGAAGTTACATATGATGGTCTGGCAGATCGTTGCGGCGCTTGGAGGCAGTTGACAGTGACAGTTTTTTCAGCAGCCATTTTTCTTCCTACCAATAACCTATGGTTGAGGCAGCTCCAGCTCCAACTCCGCTCACATGCTCTGACTCAGGCATCAGAGCCTCTGAGCTACAGCGATAGATGCATTGGCGCTGTCCGTGGTGCTTTACACTAGGACCGCCAGGATTACAGCGCCCCTTCAAGTGCCGCAGTCCCGCCGGCTGGCACGGTCACTGTTGAGATTACATTCGTTTTTTACAAAAAAATTTTTATTGACAGTATGAATGACAGTATGAATGGTTTCATTTTGAAATAAATATTTGGAAACGAAAATGTATGCTTTGGTGTACTTTTACAGAGTTTTGCAATATGTATATAGCCTACCTGTATGTATCAAAATGTATAATTTCGGTCGGAGGTATAAATGCTCAGAAGTCTAGTGTGTTTCATTTTTGTAACTTAAAGGCTTCAGAAAACATACAAGACACATTTTTAGGAAAAGTCATAGGAAGAGAAGCTTGTAGGTTTAGTTATTTAGTTATTTACATTATAAAAACCGTCGTGGCAGTTCTAGGACAAGTGCACTTACATTGATCACTTTAATAAAATAAAACGAGAAATTGGAGAAGATTGAAAAAAATGTTAAAATTAAATTAGGGAACTGATCACAGATGCATTGTGTCTGTGTGTTTTTACATCTATTGTTGCTTTTAATTTGCAGCTATACTTTTAATGAAGCTGACATGTTATGACAGTCAAGCACCCCCCCAGGATTACGGCAGCCAATCAGCGTTGAGCTGACAGGACCCAGCGAAATACCGCTCCAGATGAGATTTCTCATCTCAAGCAACGAGCGAAAAATCGTTCTGTCGTTCTGTCGCTGTCGCTCTGAGCCCGAGCAATTTTTCTCCTGGGCGAATATACGCTCAATCGCCCGTTTGCATTGACTTTGTATGTAAACTCGTCGCTAGCGAAAAAAAAAAACAGGTCCGGTGTGAACACACCTTAACAGACTAGACCTATATTAGCCTAATTAGGGGCTGGTCCAAGGCAAGCCTGCGCTAGCCCTATCTCTAAGCTTTATCAAAAAGGAAGGTCTTCAAGATAGTCTTGAATGTGGAGATGGTGACAGCCTCCGGGAGTAAGACAGGAAGATTGTTCCATAGAAGGGGAGCCTCATAGCTGAAGGCTCTGGCTCCCATTCTACTTTGGGGGACTTCAGGAACCACAAGTAAACCTTGCATTCTCAGAGTGCAGTGCTTTGGTGGGATAATAGGGTACTATGAGCTAGTGCTGCACAATTTGATAAAAATGTGCAATTGCGATTATGGTGGACAATATCGGGATTTGTGATTGCAATTACAATATAATTACTAGGGTTGGGAACGATTAACCGATACGACCGGATATCCGGTTTGACAAGCGAGAGATACGGCTGCATTGGTAGCAGCCTCCTCAATTGATACAAATCAGCCATGAATCCTTAGATGAATCGATTGTAGAGTCATGGATCGGGTATCGCGAGACTAGCAATAGGTTGACTGGCTTCAACAGTTTGCATCTCTAAAACAACGCGAAAGCCGGCGGCATGCTCCGTAGCAGGCATTACTGACAACGATAATGGATGTAAACATCAGCGCCAGCTTGACTGGTGGAGCTGAGGAACAGAAGCTAATGCTGGTTGGATAAACCAGGGAGCAGCCAAGCCGCAGCAGAAACTAAAGGCGAATCCTGCCGGTTGTGGGTTGAACGGGGGTCACAGACACCGAAATAGAAATACATATTCCTGTGAAATACGGAGGCCATAGTGGCCTCGGCGGCGACTGAGAAGCCCGGCTCCAGGTCCAAGAAGTCTTCGTCGGTGTCATGACTGCCCAAAAATACCTGAACAGCCAAGCTGTGGCAGCACCAGCACACAGGTATATGACGTGTCAGAGGAGAAACGAGCCGTTCACATTTCCACAAACCTCACCGCACTTTAGGGACTGTTCTTTACCTGTCAGGGGAGGAGAGTGGCTGGTTGATTTTGATTTTATTTATTTATTTTATTTTGATCCCCCCTATGTTAATCACTTATTGATGCTGTTTTTGAAGTATGAATAAGTCAATAAGTAATTTATTCCATTGAAATATCATTGATGTATTATAGAAAAGTGATTTATCTTTTTATAAATGACAAACACAGAGTACAGCAAACACAGAGAAATAGTCTGACATGCTGTCAGTGATAAGCTGCTAGTCATCACAGTCCATGATACGTATCAACTAATAACAGGAGATGTCAGATTCTGCCCCTACATTGCATGTTATTATTTTATTCTGCTTTATGTTTATATTGAACAGCGTTATGATAAACATTATTCAAGACTCAAGTCCATATAAGATACATACAAAAACACAGACAATGTGTGATTTTGTGGTTGTTTGTCTTTTTATTTTATTTTTGCCAGTGTCATACAGCAACAATGCTTGGGGATGTGGTCTTTTACAATTTTGAAAATACTGTAAGAATGTCACTTTTATAGAATTGGCTTCTTTATTTTATAATATATACATCAACAAATGTTAACCATAGAATCGTATCAAATCGTATCGAATCATAACGTGCCTACACTGTATCGAATCGTATTGAATCGTATCGTCCCTACATCGTATCGAATCGTCCTGTATTAAAAATATATTGTTTTTGAATCGTATTGTAACCCGTGTATCTAGATACGTATCAAATCATCTATCACAGAGAGATTCCCAACCCTAATAATTACAATATACAATATAATAAATAAATGGCATCATGAGTCTTTTTGCTTGATTCAGTGTTTCCCCTACATTATATGAGGGGGGCACTGACCTGACCTGACATAGTTATTGTTATGGACAGACAGTGTGTCAATGACCATCAACAGAGTGAGCACAGTCAGACATGCTGCTCACACAGCAGCGTAGCACGGAACTGTACACACAGCGGATTTGTCACGTAAATGACAAATTCCAGCATGCCATAGCACAACACATCAGCATGTCAAGTGGGCCAAAACCGAGCAAAATTGTTCAATTTTTCATTTGTTATGGAGTCCATGATGTCCCTGTGACACTTACAAATGTTTGCTTATCTGTGCTTGGATGTTGTTTTATGAGGCTCTGGCGGCTTTCAGTTGTCTCTTTGTCTTTAACTTTACATGGCTCGGCTTTCTCTCGCATGCACTTTTCCTACTTTTCCCTGTGCTGTCTCAGGTGTTACAGATTGGTCGTGTTGCCGCGGGATGTGGTGACTTTAACTTTTAAACTTTTACACAGCACGTCTTTCAGGTATGGCGACGTTGGACAGAAAGAAGTGCTGTGTAAAAGTTTAAAAGTTAAAGTCATCACGTCCCATCTCAAGTGCTGATATAGATTGGTTGTGTTGCCGCGGGACGTGGCGACTTTAACTTTTACACTTACACAGCACGTCTTTCTGTTCAACATCGCTGTACCTGAATCCAAAGTATCGCCATGTAGCCTAATAGGCGTTTTTTTTGCCACCAACTCAGCCTGTTCATGGTCGTGCTCATGCTCTTCTTCAGCGTCTGTGTTGGTCACTGCTGCACGCCGGCTGCACGCACCAGGATAGCTTGTGGGCATGAGGTCAACAAACTCCACACACTACAGGAGAGGCAGTCAAGTTCACAGGCACACACGTTAACATTTATTTACATTAAATTGCAAATCGCAGCCATTTATGCGGTTATGTAATCGCACACCCTGACATCGACATCGCAATTGCGATTGCGATTGCGGTTGCGATTGCAATTAGATTAATTGTGCAGCACTACTATGAGCTCACTAAGATATGACAGAGCTTTGTAGATAAGGAAAATAATTTTAAATTCAGGATTCTGGATTTTTGAGTGAGCCAGCGCAGAGAAGCTAAAACAGGAGAAACGTGATCTATTTTCTTAGTTTTTGTCAGTATGAATGCCGCCACATTCTGGATCAGTTGGAGAGTTTTAAAGACTTGCTCTAGCAAACTGCTAATCAGTAATTGCAGTAATCCATCCTCGAGTTAACAAATGCATGGACCAATGTTTCTGCGTCATTTGTTCATCTCAAATATTTTATTTACATCTTTATTATTTACTTTAGACACTGACACAAACAATAGAAAGCAATACTAGAATATCATATTATTATACAACACTATATGAATATTGTATTATCACGACATGACATGACATGACATGACTGTATTGTGTTATATTGTATTGGTTATATCATATTGGTGGTTAAAACAAATGCCTGAATGATGCATATATAATTCCTATCTAACTTGTTTGTAAATGTAAAGTAGCTACCAGTAGCTTAGGCTGTATAGTAAGTGACCTTAGACAGTATGGCTGATGCTGCTTGGGTTCAGCAGGATCCCACTAGTTGTCTCAGATTTGCATCAGAACCTTTGACTGAACAAGTGTAGCAACTGTCACCATTTCACATCACTGCTTGTATGAATAGTTTTGATGTGAAATATTTTCAGGTGAGTATTTTGTATTTTGGTGTTGTTAATTTGTTCGTGCGGGAAGTTCCACATCTGTCACTGAATAAAAATACAAACATTAGTCTGTCAAACAATGAAGCTGGATAAATTCACTATATCATTTTTTTGTTTTTTCTGTTCCTCTCAACTATTCTCAAAAGGAATGGCAATATATAAGAATGGCTTGACCATCTGCGCCCTTCTAGTGACTCTCACTATTTTGGAAACAGGGAACTTCAGTGATTCTTCAAGTCAGGTTTTACCGGTAGGTCCACCGTGTTTATGATACTGAACAGAAAATATGGGGTCACAAGTTTTGTTAAATAACACAAAGCAATTCTTTAACCCTGTTTTCGCAGGTACACAATGAAGAAGAACCCTTTCTACCTCACACCAGGGAGAAAAGGAATGGTTTGTCTGATTAATAAATATTATCAAAAATGATACGAATATTGGAAAATACACTTTTAGGCTTCCTAACTGAAAGTTAGATGAGAAGATTGATACGCTTTCTCATTTGTCTGTCTGAGAATACATTAGTTTAACATTACCTAATCAGGGGGAACAGTTACACAGTCTTTTGTGTTGTTGTTATGAGGTTGCTAAGCAACCAGCAATGTTTTCAGGAAGACATTGTTCCCAGCCAGGCTTTGACGGAGTGGCCAGACTGTGGAATTACAACTTCATGGTCCGTCACATATTGCCATGGAGCCCAAAAAGCCTTTTTTCACAGAATTACATTGTGAAAGAGATGACTGTAAATCAGTGGATACATTTTTTGAGCATCACAATCCTGGCAAAATTACTTGTTTTACTATCAGGATTTAATCCATTCAGTCCAATAGCATTTAGAAAGTCTAGAAGTTAAAGTCTCTGGTGCGCTTGCTCTGTGGGCCCAAGCTATGGCTGGGAAGGTGAACTTTTTGGCTTCATAAGCGACTAAGCAACTTTTAATAGGAATGAAAGGGTATCTCCTCAAAGCTATATCCAGTTCTCTCAACATGTCCTCGTCCCAGTTTGTTAAATACTGCCACTTTGTCAGCGGCCATACACATCAAAATATGGTGTGTTAGCAGTGTTGAGAGGATATCTTTCAAAATGTATTCTACTACAGATCATTGAACACATTCCATTAGATTACTCAAACTAAGTAACTCCCTCTAAATACTGTATCCTGTCTGTACGTCTCACCTGCCACTGTGGTGTGGCAAGTGCACTTCACACACTTTTTTAAAAATCTGTTGATGGGAAATGTGTGCCTCATGATTTCACATGGTGTCCTAACAGCAAGCAAGCATGGCTTTCTGTCCACACTGAATCTGTTAAATATGCACCTCTGTTACGTCATGGATACAAACCATGTAGCCATCAGCGGTATGCTCGATGGGAGACGTAACCACTGCTAAGAAACTGTCCTGCACAAATTACATTAATATAGCCAACAGCATGCTGGTTGTTATTAACAATGGACATTACCAGGAACTTTCAGCTCCCTGGTGGTCTCTGTCGTCAGCTGTAATCTTTAGGTTTTTGCAGTTAAATGTGGAGGTGTTGTGCAGATAACTCCCCATTTCAACTCCATAAATCAGCTCTTTTTCATCTATTGCAAAGCTTTAAATACAAGTGATGGGAATAAATAAAAACAGGGTGCCTCACAAAAGTTTAACTCACAATGTCAGTGCTGCATTATTCCAGGCCAGTTGTAACAATGCTATAGAAAGCAATGCAATCAATCTGACACTTGCTCACGCTGCATTCAGTTAAGATACAGTGTTTCAAAATCAAAACAAATAAAGTAATCCCTTCAGGTTATGTATTTTTAAAGACAGTAACTGTAGTCACAATAACCACAATTTTAACTGTAATGAATACAGATACTCTTATTCATATTTTAAATATGTAACTCAGTTACTCGTATTCTGTTACTCCCCAGCCCAGCACGTTAGGTACCCTCCTGCATCAGTTTTGGATGTTCAGGGATGACGTGTCAGTTTACACCCGTTATATGCACTGTGTCTTTTTTGCAATACACCTCTATTTTCACAGGAAATGTACAGTCTTAAGTCTTATGTTTATTATCTTAGATTTAGGCAATGAAAGCACATGCTCCTGATTGAAAGTGCAGAGTTCGTTGGACCTATCCAACAAACTCTACTGTCCACTACTACTGAAAATCTGTTTATGGGAAATGTGTGCCTCATGATGGCCAGCATCCACTACTGCCTGCCCTATACAATCTTTCTCACTCTTTATATGTGACAGTAATTGCTGACAGCATTACAAACAGCTGCTGACTGGTGTGTTTCATACTGCTGTGAAGGGTGCCTCTCCTTTTTGTCTTTTGTATGGACATGTTAATTAGAGAGTTTTAGAGGTACTGGTAGGTGGATTTTTCCCCTTTTCTTATGCTAAGCTAGGCTCAGTGTCTCCTGGGCATAGTTAAAAATTAGTGTAAAGACATGAATGTGGTGTCAGTCTTATTTAACTTATTTAAAAACTTATTTACTTATTTACTTATTTAAAAACTGGAATTAGCAAATTTTCAAAATATCAGCCTATAAAAAGTTTTATACCTTGTATATCATGAATGTATGGTTGTCAAATATTCACATACTTTTTTATCTAATTTCAATCTTCAGTGCCTACAGGCCAATGGAATTACATCATTGATGTTGTCGTGAATGCCTCTAATGTAGAAACATTTGAGCAGATTCGGTCCTCATTGAATGCCACTAGTCTTCCCAATCAACTGGATAACAACACAAAGGTCTCTGACATTAGCATCACAACAGGTGAGAAACAATCTTCTTTAAACAATTTGATGATAAACATATTACCAAGTTTAATACTATATAAATACAACCTTTCTCCTCTGACAGTGTGTTCCTCGACTGGAACTGGCTCCCTGTGCAGATGTGAGGAACATTTTGCTTGGCCATACAGCAGCTGTGTCACATATGGAGCCTGTGATCACTTATCCAGTGGCATCTGTAAATGCATCAATGTCATTCCAGCTGATGGCCAGTTCTGTCAGCCAATATCAGGTGATCAAGTCATAACTAATTATTAAATCTAGTTACAAGGGCATCCATTTCTTGTCATTGCTAACTGGCAGCATTGGCCAGATAAAAGGGGGGTAATAGTTATATTCTGTTTAGTTTAATTCAGTGCAAATCCATGCATGTTAGTTCAGTTACACAAGCTGTGTTCAATCTCCACGGGTGAGCTGAAGTGGCTATAGCCCATATTTTTTATACAGTATTAACAGTGGATCACATGATGACTTGTATTTTGAAATGGTCATGCATTGTGATGAGCAAACACATAATTAACACTAGACTCTGTTCTTCCTCTGAACTCTACAGAGCCTTTTCATCTCTTTTATCTTATTTTTTTCAGGCCCACAACTTTACCATTTTGGCTCAGTTTCACTGCTCTCATCTGTGTCATTTCCAGATGCACAAGGCTGCTGTTTTTAGTCAAAACATATATACTACATATCACTACTAAACCCACTGTGCACTTCCTGGCCAGCACCAAATAGGAGATAGACTATATACTAGCTGGCAAACAAAGCGAAGCATTTAGCAGTTATACTGTATAGAGATAAAGGCACACATATATTTTCAGGAGATGACTGAAACCAAAACAGAGCTAAAAGTAGAGTGAGTAACCAATATGACTAAGTCACTAATATTCATTCTTAGATTCATTTGATTCATTTGCTTGTCAGCAAACAGTAAAACTGTTTGCTGACAAGTTCGCCTCAACTTTTATCAAGTTGATATGGCGAAGCTGATATGTAAAAAAACTGTAAGTCTTGTGTTGGTCTTGACAGTTCATCTCCAAAGCTTGTTTCCACTGCCCCCAAGTGGTATATGATAATGATTGCAGCTCTAAAAATACTAAACACAAATATCTATTAAGCACAAGACACAAAAGTACAAATAAATATATGAAAATTATATAAACATATAAATAGATGTTAATGTGGAGACTTACATTACCCTGCACAGGAGGCCCAAGAGTACAGAACTACTGTAATCAAAAATAAATGAATAATAGATAAATATATGATGAATGAAGTTCCTGGCTAAAGACCTCAGCAGAAATTGAATGACTCTTTAAAGTAATTTTGCCATTTCACAACATATGTCCCTGTCCATAGCTTTAAGAAATATCAAATTCATGTATTGCAATTTTAATAGCGCCGGGTATCTAAAATCACACACTAGGGCAGCATTATATCAGTGGAGCAGGTGATCGACATGTCTCCTCCAGATGAGATAATCACTGGTTTCACCTGTATATGACAGGGAACCTGTTGAAGCCACTTTGCACCTTTGGTATAGTCCAGTGCGAGAACCTTGCATCCAAATGTGAATGTCCGCAACTCTGATTTTGCTCATCGTTTCACTTGAGCGCTCTGTTGACAGTGCACCACCTCTCCTGTCTTTTGAGGTGTCAGGAGGTCAAGTCAAGTGTGCAGTTGTCTCTTGAGCATAGCTGAAGCAACACATTTGTCTTAGCATGAGGTGTGTTTCTATACAACAGGAAAGCACTGAGACCTCGGTTAAGGGACTGTGTGCCTTGAGAGGACTTGAGAGCTTGCTTCACTGTGTGTACAAATCTTTTGGCGAGCCCATATGTAGCTGGGTGATATGGCGCAGATTTGATGTGCCAGATACCCTTCTCTTCCATGAATGTTTTGAACTCTTCAGACACTAGCTGTGGACTGTTATCACTGTTGGGGTAGGCCAAAATGACTGGAGATAGACCTTAGCTCTTCAATAGTTTGCTCTGAAGACGTGCTCTTCATAACAGTAACTTCTGGCCATTTGCTATGGGCCAGGCTTCAAACTTGGTGTCATCTCCAGCCAAACCTGAAAAAAGTCATCAATGAGGGGTAGTGGATACTGTTCTACAGTCACAGTGACTCTGAAACCACCACAGATTCTTGGTAAATCAATGTTGCATTTCTCTCATGCGCGCGTGCACTCTCTTTTTCTCTCTCGCAGTCTCACTCTGTTTCTTTTCTTTTGGCTTTTCTAAGATGACAGATGCTGAATATATACTCCCTATCTGATGCTGTGGCTGTTTGTGGTTGGCTGAGAGGGATGTGAGCTCATTAGTTTTGTTAATCAAATCAGGTTGGGTTTCCATTACGCGTGCCAAACGTGCCAGACGGTGCCAATCCCCTTTGATCTGACATCAGATGTGACGGGACAGTAAATATAGAGATACATTTATGTGCTGATTGCAGATAGTTGCATTGAATAGTGTTTTTTTGGGTATTTATTGAATAATTAATGTGCCTGAAATTCTGGAAACCTGCCTGTAAGGTTTTGGTGACATGTGCGCACTGTCCGCTGGTCAGCCAAACTTCGGCTTACACCGGCTGCGCTCCCCTGCGCTGACAGTAGAGGTGGTTTCAGCTGGCGAGCTTTTGGCGCACCTTCGACGGAGCCTTTTGGCATGAAACTGTCACTGCGCCAAGCTGGATCTGTCGACACCTCCCCCTGCTGCGCTGCCACACCCATCTCAGCACACCTCGGTCTGCCAAACTACCAAATTGAGCGCGCCTCGGGTTGCGCTGCTCGAAACTAGCTCAGCGTGGGGTTCGCCACCCTGCGCCACCCTGCGCTGCGCCAGCAAACTAGAGCCCCATGTCTTTACACCAACACCCTTGTGCCAGGTGCCCTGTTTTCCCACAACAGTAGCATGGCTTGTCAGCTGCTGTATTGTTTTTGGCAGCCATTTCCATCAACGTTCTAATCTCTTTGGCTTTCTCCAGTCTCAAATTAGCCTCAGTAAGTTGTTGTTTATGAATAGCTTTGCTGCCTAGACCACACATCAATCTGTCATGTATGGTGTCATTTAGTGCAAGTCCAAATTCACAGGGTTCAGATAACCGTTTCACTAACCAACACAAAATGTGAAACAGATTCCTTCTTTTCCACATTCCTTTTATGAAATTGGATCCTCTCTGCAATAACCAGTGAGAGAATAGTGCTCTCTTAATATTTTTACTATTTATCTCCAGGCTTGTCACATTGCACAAGGCTGCAAGTAGGTTGACTGTTTTTTCCATACATAACACTTAAAAATGTCAGCACAAGCACATCCTCTTTAATCTTGTTATCAAGGACAAAACACTTAAATCTCTTAGTATATGAGCTCCACTGTTCTGTGTTTTCCCTTGAATAGTCCTATGTTTCCAATGAGTGCTGCCATTTTTGTTATATCCCACCGGCTTCAGCAATTAGTTTTATCCCTGTACTTATGTGCACTGCCAGTTAGTTCTTTTCCTTGTTTTATCTGACTTACTCATCTTTTGTTATTTTACAGTTCCAACACACTCCTTGCTTTCATAGTTCCAGTCTCTTATCCACCGCAGAGATTCCTCTTACCTCCTGCAGCAGCACAGTCCTCCGTGCCGGCCTGGCTCTGGTCACGCAGTGGCAACCAGCGTACACTGCACCTCAGTTAGCTGAGAGCTAGCATTACACATCCTTAAAAAACTTGCAAACTCACACCTCCTACCGAAACAACAAACACTACGTGAGGATGCATCTCCTTGTCACCAGTTTTGTTGTTTAGTCCACTTATTTTGGATTACAACCAATAATGAGGAAACAGGAGACAAGGTAGAACTTGCCAGCAGGCATGTATTCAGTATTTCCATCAGAGCAGGATAATGTACCAGTTACTACACATAAAACTGGAGGGAGAAACGCTATCTCTGAAGGAACAAACGTGTACTGTCAACAGTTATTACTCACCTATGAACAGTAACTATAATCCACATATATGCCAACAAAAATGCTGCTCATACAATCTTCATACACTCTCAAAGAACCAGACAGAAATTTAATTTACTGTGGGTAGTTATGTAGGTAGTAGATGCATGAAGATAAAGATGACCTATTTCTTCAGTATTTAAGCAAGATTATTGTTTTTGTTTTTTTTAAAAATCTTTTACAGTTTCAAAATAAAAAACATGTAAAGGGCTTGGGCAAAAGTTTGGGCATGTATGATCAGTACTTAGTAATGCCCCCTTTGGCAGGTATCACAGCTTTTAAATGCTTTTTGTAACCAGCTAAGAGTCTTTCAATTCTTGTTTGGGGGATTTTCACCCATTCTTGCTGCAGAAGGCTTCTAGTTTTGTGAGATTCTTGAGCCGTCTGGCATGTACTGCTCTTTTGAGGTATCTATCTTTGAGGTATCTATGCACAGATTTCCAGTGATGTTTAGGTTGGGCACTTGTGAAGGCTGTGGCAAAATCCTGAGCTTACGCCTCTTTAGGTAGTCCCTTGTGGATTTCAAGGTGTGTTTAGGATCGTTGTCCTGTTGTAGAAGCCATCCTCTCTTCATCTTCAGCTTTATTTCTTTTTACAGATGGTGTGATGTTTGCTTCAAGAATCTCCTGGAATTTAACTAAATACATTGTTCCCTCTACCTGTGAAATGTTCCCTGTGCCACTGGCTGCAAAGCAAGATTGATCCACCTCTGTGCTTAACAGCTGGACAGGTGTTCTTTAATGAAATTCTGCACCCTTTTTTCTCCATACATACCATTGCTCATTGTGTCCAAAAAGTTCTATTTAAAGTTCATCAGTCCACAGGACTTGTTTCCAGAAAGCATCATGCTTATTAAGATGTCCCTTTTCAAACTTCTGACATTAAATTTTGTGGTGAGGACACAGGAGAGATTTCCTTCCGATGACTCTTCTATGAAGGTCATATTTGTACAGGTTTCGCTGCACAGTAGCACAGTGGACCACCACTCAAGAGTCTGACAAAGCTTCCTGCAGGTCTTTTGCAGTCAAACAGGAGGTTTGATTTGCCTTTCCAGCAATACTATGAGCAGCTCACTTGGAAAGTTTTCTTGGTCTTCCAGATCTCAACTTGACCTGTTAACTGCTACTAATTTCTTAATAACATTACAAACTCAGGAAACAGCTACCTTCTAACAGTTTGGTGTGTTCTTATAGCCTTCTCCTGCTTTGTAGGCATTAGTTATTTTAGTTTTCAGACTGCTAGGCAGCTGTTTAGAAAAGCCCATGGCCGCTGTTTGTTGTGACAAGGTTTCAGGAGTCATAGTATTTACAAAGCTTTGACAATTGCATCACTTGGCCTTTCCTAACCAGCTTATTATGGTCTGAGACCCTGGTAAAAGTTATCCGAGAGCTCAAATGATTTGGGGTGTCCAAACTTTTGCATGGTGCTTTATTCCTTTTTTTCACTTTGTACAAAAACTGTACAAAACAAAAATAATACTCCAATCTTGCTGAAAATGTTGCAAAGCATGTTTTATGTTTAACTAAATGTCTTTTGGAGATCAGTTTACCTTCTACTCACTTAACTAGTCACAGTGAACAAAATTTTGACCAGGTGTGCCCAAACTTTTGCATGCCACTCTATTTAGTCCAAACAAATACTAAAAATAGTCTAGACAGTAAGATCTTAAACAGACATTTATGTCTTTGTTGATTTATTTTTCACACATAATCACATATTCAGTACATTGTTTTACCCTCTTTTTTTGAAAAGTGCCTGATTGAAAAATTAGAAATCCTGTAAAATGTTTCTTTTCGGTGATAACAGGTGAGGCTTTGTAATATGGTCTCATTGTGTTTTCCAGCTATTAAGTCCCAGCTATAGTCATTAGCAGCAACAAAAAATGTTTCTTTCAGTGTGTTGAAACTTACATAACTCAATGACAGAAACAGTTACAGTGATTCTGACTGAGAGAAAAAAATACTTTTGTGTCAACTTTCAAATGAGATCATGCATGCACATGTAGTAAACATGGAACTTTCAGTTTACTCTGGATATGCCTTGGATTGATGTTTTAGGTGAATTTAGGTGAATTTGACAGGACCTTTCAAAGGACCATCAGCCTTCTCGGGAAACTGAAATCTAAATTTTACCTTAAACCAAGTTGTCTAAATTATTTGTGATCAAGCATCGATCCCGTTTCAATTGTATGTCCTGAAACCAAACAGACCCTAAATCATGTTATATTTTTCTAACAGCACTGCTAGCTCAGGTTGAGTATGCAGTGGATGTGGAGCTGAATGTAGCAGATTTTGAAACAGTGGACTACCTTAGGAGTTTCCTGGACAATGGCAACGTTCCTCTGACCTTGGCTCCCACTGTGAATGTCACACAAGTTGACATCACCACAGGTAAGAATGGAGCTTCCTCTGATCAGTTGACCGTAGATGATCATTTTGTGAATCAAGGCACAGTAAAGTGTGCTGTATCGAAGCGAATCGTGACCAATATTTAAATTGAAATGCATTTGCAGAAATGCTTTTTCATTTTAAGAATGTGGCTGCATTATTTGACTCATAAATAAAATTAGTCATCAATCATCCTATTTGCATTTTAATTTTCTTCTTCAAGACTGCTCATTCTTTCACTTAATTAAAATGAAAAAGAAAAAGACATTTGAGATTTAATTTTCAAAATATGCCCCAGCAAATAGATACCAAAATTCAATTTGAATTGTAAAATTTGAAAATTAAAATGCATTTGCAGAAATGCCTTTTCATTTTAAGAATGTGGCTGCATTATTTGACTCATAAATAAAATGAATAATCAATCAATCTATTTGCATTTTCTTCTTCAAGACTGCACATTTTATGCCATAATCAAAAAGAAAACAAAGAAGACATTGCTATTTCATTTTTGTGGTCTGCCCTGCAAAATAGTGCCCATAATTCGAAAATGATTTGGCAATCTGAGCGGCGCAGGAGAGTGACGTCAGTTGCCGCTCTTCTTCAGCTCCGTGCTGACCATGGTGCTACCCATCTAATACGGTAGGGGGCGGTGTGCACATTTGATATACGGATGCATCACAGATCATGGCGCTTCCTGAGATTGTGCTTTCTAAACATCGTAATTTCCCAAACCTGAATAAATACCACACATAGCAACACAAAACTGCTTTGCTAGCTCAATCATGTTGTAACTAAGATATCTGCTGGAAAAAATATTTTTTTCATGGACTGTCCATTGAGTTATGGAGTTAATACGTCTGCTGACTTGACAGTCATTTAAGCTAGTAGCAGCTTATAGGCTACTTGTACTTATAGTTTATACTTTGTAGACATTGTGATTTCCCAAAACTGAATAAATACCACACAGTCCAGCAACTTTTCAGGGGCAGAAATCCCGGGTGGGACAGGGGGGACATGACTCCCCCTTCAGTAAAGCTGTACCCCCCTAGAATCATTTGAGACACAATTAAAAATTTTTGAACAGTGCAGTAGTATTTATTAAAAGCACAATGTAAGTGGTGCTCATTATAATCGCGCAATAATGTGCTATTTAAATCTTAAAAGATTTAGTCCCCCCCTCCCATTCCTAGTAGTGGTATATCCCACACTCTTTCCAACAGGCGGGGCTGCTTGGCAGCAGTAGCAGGCTGTGGCTGGAACCGCTGCCCACATCGCAAATCGCAGGGTAAGATGTTCACTCACACAGACACAGTTTAACTTAGGCTACACATGTTACAACACATCCCATTTACTGTTACAACAAGCCCCAGGCCCAGGCTGATAATATAAACTGCAACATTTCTCCTGCATTGTTCAAAAGCCTACTCAATTACGAGTGCTGCTAAGCTAAAAGCTAATGATTAAGCTCAGAGTTTAGTGATAGAGAAGACAGGAGAGAAAGAAGAGGGAGAGGACAGGACAAGAGCAGTCAGTTGCGGAGCAATGGGTACCTGTCTGTAGGCTCTCCACCTGTCAGTGAGACAAACATGAATGACGTGCAGTCTAACTGACAAGGAGCGGTCATTACGTGCGACTATTACGCACGGTTGTGGTGGAGCGGCTCGTATGGGTACCTGTCTGTAGGCTCTCCACCTATCAGTGAGACAAACATGAAAGACGTGCAGACGAGGAGCAGTCATTACGAGCGACTATTACGCACGGTTGTGACGGAGCATAGCTAATGGTTACCTGTCTGTAGGCTCTCCTCCTGTCAGTGAGACAAACATCAAAGACGTGCAGACGAGGAGCGGTCATTACGCACGACTATTACGCACGGTTGTGAGGTGCGCAGCGGCAGATCTCACAGCACACTGTTTATAAACCAGTTTACCAGTTTAATTGCAGGAAATGTTTAGTTTTAGTTTTAGTTTAGTTAGTATAGACATTCACTTTGCCTGTTGGAGAGATACAGAGAAGATTAAAGCGTCAAATTGCGGTAAAAGATGCTGTATAAAAGACAGGCTACAATTTTTTTCCTTGTCCCCCCCTGGGATTATTCTCTAAAATTTTACTGTTTATTGTCCCCCCCAACTATAAAATGGGATGTTCGCCCCTGCCTGTGACATTGACACGTTAAATAATTTTCATACATACAAAGCGGCCTTGGTTTGATTCTAACCCATAAAATACGGTTGTCAAATACTGAATCTGCTGCATCGTGAAATTAATAAATTATGCACAGCTAAGATTAACTGATGATATGGAGTACCTATTGACATAAGTGTGTAATAAGCCTGGAGGCCATAGCTAACAAGCTGCAGTCAACAAAGACCCTTGTAAACTTGTATATGTTTCATAGATATATTTACACTACTATTAATTCAGCATGATCTTGATCATGATAGAAATTAAATTGCATCATGCCATCTTGCTGTTCTGCATTAAATTTTTAAGCAAAAAAATGGTATTGGGATGGTAAAGGAATTTTTGGACTGTATGTTTATCTATATTATCTATATATTTATCTAAATATTAGCACAATTTAATATCAATAAATCATTGCACACATAAGTAATCATCTTAAATATTTAGATTAATATAATTTAGATCTGCCCTGTAAAAGTGTATGTACAGTACAGGCCAAAAGTTTGGACACACCTTCTCATTCAGTGCGTTTTCTTTATTTTCATGACTATTTACATTGTAGATTCTCACTGAAGGCATCAAAACTATGAATGAACACATGTGGAGTTATGTACTTAACAAAAAAAGGTGAAATAACTGAAAACATGTTTTATATTCTAGTTTCTTCAAAATAGCCACCCTTTGCTCTGATTACTGCTTTGCACACTCTTGGCATTCTCTCCATGAGCTTCAAGAGGTAGTCACCTGAAATGGTTTTCCAACAGTCTTGAAGGAGTTCCCAGAGGTGTTTAGCACTTGTTGGCCCCTTTGCCTTCACTCTGCGGTCCAGCTCACCCCAAACCATCTCGA